AAATCTTCCTCAACCTGTAAACTCCAATAAAGTTACAATTATTAGTAATAATAATGGTAATTATCTAATTTATTGTTTAAATATTTAATCTTAATTATTTATTATTAATGATATTTTAAATCATAAACAATTATAGAATCTAAACAAATTGAATTAACTATGTCAGATTCTAAACAAATTGAATTAACTATACCAGATAATTTATAAATAAATTTTATTTATCTGATTATTGAAATTTTCACATTATTTTTTTTATTATTATCAAAAAAAATTTTTTTAATGATTATATGCTATCTATTTTAAATTAAAGCAAACCCTCCTTATGATTGAAATGACCTATCATAGTGGTGTATCCATCGATTATCTGGGTATTTGAGTACTTGGTCATCAATAATAATAAAGCTCAACACCTGGATAATCAGTCAGTCAATAAAATTCAAATCCAGTGACAATTTTCAACACACAATTAACTGGATAATTGGTGAATAATTGGTGAATATCATTTGGTGGATACAACTACTAACCTATCACCATGTCTCTTATCATCATTTAGTATTATTTATTTATTATTTTATTAGCATTTTTATATTCAACATTTATATATACTGTTTTAACATTTTTATCATCTATAAACACTATAAATAATAATAATAAAAATGATCATTGTGAGATAAAAATCCATGCCTCACAGTAAATCTCAATATTTTATTTATAATACAATTTATTTATACTAAATCATAACAACAATTTCCATGAATGCATATTTATGCTTTACTATCATCAAACAATTCCTTACAATAAGAAATACTAAATAATATCTTTAGATATCCTGATCATGTTTCTTGGTGGGTGTCCTTCTAGCTGTTTTCCTCTTTACTACCAAGTCAGGCACATACCTAAAAACTACTAAATAAAATTCATTAAATATTACCTCACTAAAAGAAAAGAAAGAAATAAAAAATAATAATAAAAATAAACAAATACAAAATAAGAGAAAATTTATTATGCTTGGGATTAGTATGAATTCATTGTTAGAGATAGATTTATTATCATTACAAAAATATAATTCGAAGACTATGACAAGGACAAGGTTAAGGACAGCATTATTTATTAAATTATTATTATGATGATGATAAAGATGATGAAGATGATACATGAAGTTGAGAAAATTACAACATTATTTATACATGTTAAAGGTTCTATCACCCTGTTATTAATAATTAATTTTGAAAGAAAAGGTCATTGTAATAATAATAAACATTTTATAATTTAATAATAAAACAAATTAATTCTTTTATGGTTTAATTGTCCGTTAGGTTTTCGCTCACAGTTGTGTTTTTCCATTTTTTCCAGAAAATTTTCATGGGCGAAATCAGGCCTAAATCAAAATTGCCTAAATGTCTAAACCATGAATTAGTTCCGGCCACCATCACCAGACTTGTGTCTTGAATTATGTCTTGCATCACGAATTGCGTTTGCATCTCTTTTACCACGAATTGTGTTTTGCATCACGCACAACACCAATTGTGGCCTTTAAACCATATAACTGTTTCGATTTTTTATATTTAATTAATAAAGGTTGAATAAATTTATCTAAATCGTAAAATTTTCTTATTAACTCGAAATCAACCCGAAATTTTCGGGTCGGTCTCGGGTTTGCCTTTAATATCATTAATTAAAATATTCGGATTTGTCACCTAACCCGTCGAACCCGACCCGTTCGGAGCTTTACTTATTATTCACCTCACATGGATTAAATTTAATGATATCATTAGGCATAGAGGAAATTTTTTGATTATTAAAAGGTTGAAAAATATTTTTAATTTGAGCCTTTACACTTTGCGAATAGATGATATTATAGAATAATTTGAAATATTTGAAATATTAAAAGAAGGAAATTCCTTTTCAACGATTATTTGATGAAAAGATTCTTAATGATTACAAGTATTATTATTGCCATGCTTTGTAAAACAAGAACATAAACACCTATTTTCATTACCGAAGGTAACCAAATTTAATTAAATACATGTAAAAACGAAATATCTAATAATTTTTTTAAATAAGATACGACTGAATAAAAAACGCGAGATTAAAAAATCTAATCATGTGATTTACATAAAAAAATTTCATGTGCACCAGAATAACAAAAAGTTAAACGAAATGAAACTAATTTGTGCTAATATTGATATTAAAAAAAATGAGGAGATAAAGAAATCATGAAAACATACAGATAGATTTAAAAAAAAATAATGTTAGATATAGAAAAGTTAAAGAAAGATAGAAGCATTAGAAACTAAGTTTAGTACGAATTTATCAAATATATAAACAACTGAGCATAAAGTTCAAAGTAACCCATCTAAAATTAACACACACAAAAAGGAAATAATAAATCAGATATTGCAATGTTGCCAAGAGGAAAAAATATGGAAAATATTTTTTCTATATCCAAACATACATGAAAAAGATGACAAATCAAGTGATTAATCCCTTATTTCAGAAATCAAAGAGTTTGAAAATTAAACAACAAATAAATGAAAAAATAAATAAAATTTCAATCTATTTGAAACCAATACAAAAATAGTGTCAAGACATAATTTAACACTAGTCAGAATAGATAGATATAATAATTAACGTCAATGATTATAATATAACCAACCGACAAAAAAGAATAGATACGTACAATGTAATGGGCTTTAAAGATTTAAATTTAGACATACCGGTATTACATAAACAATACTACTTCATGTCAATTTTGGTGGGATTCTGATAAAGAACATTATTATATATACAGAGTTTAAATATCAGGTAGAATTTACATCTTATTTTTTTTGCACTTACAGGGATGCTTTTTATATAAAGTAGGATTACCATATTATCTATCCATTTTGGTTCATCTAATAACGTATTCATGGGTCTTTTATTATTATCATCATTATTTTGGATGTGTATAGTGTACACAATCAATTCTCAGCAACTCAAAGTAGTTGTAGAATCAGACTGGACGTTCGGGTCCAACCCAGTTTGAGCAAATCTGGAGCAGGTCACACGTTTACGGACGAAAATCACTTTACAAAAATCAATTTACTTTATAAAAAAAGAATCATAAATATTTGTTTATTATTTATATAAAATTACTTAATATCTTACAATTTGGATAATACATTTTTATTAAATCGATCCAGATTATCTCCGTCATCCTTTACTGTTGCATCATCACTATTTTTATCATTCATTGATTGTGTTGACAACAATTCATCATCATCTTTTACCGTCATATATTGATCGTATTCGATTAACACTTTATCTCCTTTCGGCTTACTAAAGAATGAAATTAAGAAATTATATCGTAATTTTTCAGCAAAGGAAGGTTGTTTCTGACTTTGTTGTTGCTGTTCATCTTTTATTTCATGTTCAACCGAATCTAATGGATCAAACGCTTTATTACGTGATAAATGAGGATATGACTCTTCATATTTATTAACGTAATTACACCACCAATCTAATTTCGTTAATTTATAAGCTCTAGAAACCGCGAGATCTTGCATAAATACTATGGTATTGAGAAAACCTAAAGAAAAAAATATTACATATTTAATAATAAATTGCTAAATCATAATTTTATTACCTTGAAATGAGAGGAGAGTAGACAGTATTAAAAATACATAATTGATTTTCTGATTAACATAAATGTCAGTTTCAACTAAAAAATTTGGTCCCTGAGTTATTATAGGCACAACAGGATACCATATAACCTTTCCAACCACTAATGATATAATAGCCTTGTTCCTTAAAACATTCTTATCATATTGACTTGTTATTGTTTGGCCATCAATATTATTGGTGCTTAGTGATTGACTTGACACTTTGTGTAATTTCACCGCAACACTAATTAATGTTATTATACAATATAATATACAAAGTAATTCCCAAGAGTAGAATGCTGCCCATTGCCATACAATATTCAATTTTGTACCCGAGTCACGGAAAAAGCATACCCTAATATGAAATAAAAATTATATAATTAATGATGAATGTAAATTAATGATTAGATGTAAAAACTTACCCTTCGGGTGCATCCCAACCATACATGTGATCGGAGAACGGAATCAATGATAGAATTGAAGCTAAAGTAATCGCACCTATGAAATAAACCATTTCTAATTTACGTCTACCCCTGTACCCATGAATGAACACGATTTGTAGATTCTGTTTAATTCACATGATCAAATCTCCGATTAATATTTTAATTAATTAATTAATTAATTAATAGACTAATAAAAGATATATTTTACCAGAGCAATACAAGTAGGGAAAAAAATTGACATAAGACTAAAAAATACAGTTCCCCAGGTAGCGATTATACATGGGCCGGTGGGAGATGCAAGGGTTGCACCGATTAATTGAAATACACTAACACCAAAGTCTGAGATCATTGTAGCAAGAGCAAGTCGAAACGTAACTCTGTTGACTAATCGGGGATATTTATATCTTATAGAAAAAAACACTGAAATTCCGAACGTAGTTGCGATCAATGATGCTGTGCTTTGAATTAATAAGAGCAGAAGAACCATCTTCCCTTGTTCATCAGTTATCGCGAATGTGACAGTTTCTGTGTCATTTGCTATTGGATTCGACATTTTTTATAGCCTAATTAATAGATAATTACAAGAGAAGAAGAATTGGAATGAAGAAAAGACAATAATATTATTGGATATTTATTTAAAATATTGAAAAGTAAAAAAATTTACTTTATTAGATCAAAAATTCGTTAGAATAAAAATGGAGACAAGTAAAAATCAAGAGGTATTTATCTATATCAGTTTTGTTTACTTCTTGACGGTTTCACTTCAATTACTGTTTTCTTATCATTTCCGATTGATTGGTTTAAGTTTGTGGCGACAATTACTTTTAAATAATTAATATTATACATCATGATCTTAAAATTTGTC